ATTCCTTTAATCCAAAGATTTGCATAATGATGCATTGGTTTGGAGAAGTTTGTAAGTATATGCGGATGGAATGTAGCTCAGTTGGAAAAAACACTTTAAGTGGTCAGTAGTTCTAGAAGCGATTAATACGTATTCAGTCCATTTATGGCGATTTAGAGTAACTAAAGCAGTTAAATAACTATTGTAATTATCGTTAGCCAGGAAGTCTGGGTGTTTTTGTTTTCAGAACAAACAAATCCATCTGCTGGATAAAGACTGTGCAACTCTTTATTTTTGCTTCCAATCCTCTTGGCAAAGTGAGCCAAGCTTGGTGCCAATAACCTTTCAACATCACCTCTCCCTACCGTATAATTGCCAGTTATCAGTCTGAGCTGTAACAGATGCAGATGAGCTAGAGCCCATAGATAACAGCTGAGCAAAGGTCCTCAAATTCAACTTTTCACTGTTTCAGAGCTGCTGTGCCTCAAGCAAAGATTTAGGAAAAAGAAAAACTTCATGTAAACTACTTAGAGTGAATTCTCTAAAGGGTGTCACCTAATATCACGACATCAACGACTTCGATAATATAATCTATAACATTTTTAGGAACAAAAATGTTTAAACTATTGCACAATTCATTACAAATTTAACATTATCTCAAAATCACTGCTTAAAAATTTGCACACCGTGATGAACTGCCTGGAGTTTAGTAAATGATGATTATTTAAGTACCGATGCTTTCAGTTATTTGTGCTCCAAATGCAATTAGTGACACTTGGTTAATGCAGCATAAATAGATTTGGAGACCTAAGAGCTGAAATGGTATGTTGAGTAAGACAAACCCTTCTTACATAACACTTTTATTCGTTTATCTACCACAGGACATATGGTTAACACAACATGTATCCATATTATAGCAAATATTATGGTGCAGCCATAATTTCAATGGATTTAAATTTTCTTCAAGGAACCTGGGTGCCGGAGGACTATGTCATGATTGTTGGAGGTGCAAAAAAAGTAACAGAGCACAGAGAGTCGCGAGTCATGTTTCTTTTTTCAGCTTCAAATTTAAAACTCACCATAAAGTCTTCAGACTACATATCCAGCCTTACAACTCTACTAAATACTTTCTAGACCTTCGGTTCCCTTAATGTGTTGTGTTCACACAAGCTTAAACCTCTGCCAACAGCGCGTGATATTAAGGTATTTTTAGCCACTCAATGTTTACTTTTAAGACTACAAGTGAGGAGGTGATGTTTTAGTAGATTTGTCTATTTTGTTAGCAGTGTTGTTTATAATGCTGTAGGACGATCTGCTTGGAAACATTTACTGAAGAGCAAGAGGGCAAAACAGAAGGATAATTGTTCACGACTAATTCACCTTAGTCTGAATGATCAAGCCACAGATTGATATCGTGTAAGTTCACTCTGACTGGAAAGTGACAAAGCAATGTTTGGTTTTCTCCCCAAACTGCAATGTTTTTTGTACAAATATTCTTCCAAATGAACATTAAGAATGAAAAACATGCAAGAAACATCAATGGATATACGGCCCCCTTGTGGCATTCAGATGTAACTGCAACCTAAGGATTAAAATTTGGGTCTAAATCTTACAAATCTGAAAGGATTTTTACAAATATGTCAAAACCAGCAAAAAGTTATCTCCCTGTTACTTGAAAGTGTTCTTCTCCCTCTACAATAACCTTGACACCCCAACTTACCATATACTACTGGGTACACTGTGCCTCGGATCCCTGAGGCAGGACAATGCATATTCTTGCCATTAAGGTACAAGTTCATCTCCACGTGGTCATACGTGATGCCCTGAGGGACAAAAACACACATGAGTAAACCTGTCCTGAATCAAAGGTTTCTCCGTATTTTTTTGTATCATACCTTAATCGGATTTTATGAATCACACAAATAGAAAGTAACACATTATCACAATAGAAGGAAAAATCCAGCTGTTCTTTAGAAAACATTGAACAAAAATCCTCACTAATACAAGTTACATCCCAGATGGATGAGGGATAAAGATATGGAGAAGCTTAGGTTGTAACAAAACAATTCTCCAACCTTTGCACTGCTTACAGAGCATTTCTAAGTCCATTTGATCAACCAGGATATAAGAACCTCTCTCATTAATACTCTCCAGGGAATGTGAGGGTTAATCTGGAGCAGACAAGAGCTCCACACTTTGAAATAACTTCAAAAACCCAGAAAAGTACATCCAGCTAATCGGGCATGAATAATTTTGCAATGCACTGTAATTATAGCATTAGCATGCAAATGGCAGAAACTGTTTTATATGTTATAATCTCTTATAGCAGGGATTATAAGATGAAGACAATGTGTTAACTGTGCAATTATGGTCATACTAATGTTACTAACGTTACCTTAATGCTGCTGTAGCAGGATCGGTGCCAGTGGCTACAGTGGATTGTTAGTAATTGTTAATAAATTGCAGCTCTGTGACTTCTTCTACAGCCGGCAAGCTGTTTTTAAGTCTGTGCTGCATGGTCATGACCTCACAGACAGACGGACTTAATTGAGTCGCGTTTAACGTCTGTCATTAAAAATGCTCACATAAAAATGCATCTACATTGTACAATTTGCCAAGCACAGATTGATGTATTTGGATTGCAGGAGTAGAAATCGATCCATCGGTTGAACAGTCAATTATTTCACCCCTAAATATTATCCATATTGAAATGTTATATACAAGTATGTTTAAGTTAAATTTAGTTTCTTTCTTAAAGCTACACCAGTTCAATCAAAGTGCAGAAATGATAAAGGCTCTTGCTTCCAATTGAAACATGGTTAAAGAAGTATATAGCTGCACTCACCACGACGTCACCCTCCTGAGGAAGGCTGTTGGCAGGCAGACGGTTCTTCTCTTCATTGTTGTGGTACACAGACCCATCATGCCGCAGTACTAGGCTGTTTGTGTCTCTGCCCAAAGGCACTTGGTTAAGATTCACCTTCTGGGTGGCCACCCCAACTCCCCACACACCTAGGAAAAAAAAGAAAAAAAAAGACCCCACTGAAAATCTCAATGTTTATACATTTGTTTATACATCTATTTACTGCAACTCCTGATAGTTATTGATTGAAAAAAGATGCATGGAGATATATACAGCTTTTTTTTTTATGATTAAAAATTAATCGCTGCAAGGGATTAAAATGATTAACATTTACTACATTAGGTAAATGTTTCAATCATAATATAATGAATATGGAGAGACATAAAGATGAGAAAAATACTTTGTTCAGCTGCTGTTCTTTTCTTTTATATAAACCCAACCAAAACCTTTTTTTATTTGTGCTAAAGGAATAGAGGACAATCTTTTATTTTTGGATGGATCTTCTAAATAAGTGGTCCTCCTAATTGTCAATCATTCTGATGACATATTTACATATGGCCGTCCTACGTGCTAGTCCCGTTAGCCATCTTTTTCTGTGCATGCGAAATTCAGGCGTATATCTGTGGTGAGCTATGGTTTCAGACAGTCATT